AATAAGGAGTCATTTCTCTCTCATTTGTTTAGTTTTCACAAGCATGGCTGTGATCATCTTAGTGTGAATTTCTTTTGGTTCATCCTGTTAAGAATTTGCTCAACTTCAAAGTTATAAAAAAGAAAGTATAATGTATGCAAAAATATATACTACCTCTGCCCCCAGTGGGGGAGGGGGGAAGTATCTATAGCAAAAAAATGAAATTTGGGAACTTTTCAGTCATTTATTTCTTTGAGTACTTTTTCAGCCCTTCCCTTTTTCTTCTTCCTTCCAGGCCTCCAACAATACAAATATTAAATCTTTTCTTATTGTTTCCAGGTCCCCACAGCTCTTTTTATTTTTTCTTTTTAAGCCTATTTTTTCTTTGTCTTCAAATTGGGTCATTTCAATTATTCTAACTTCCTTTCCTCTGTTCCCTCCATTCTGCTTCTCAGCGCATACACACAGTCTTTTATTTCAGTTATTGTATTTTTCGGTTCTAAAATTTCCATTTGGTTCTTTTTTATAGCTTCTATTACTTTGTTGAAATTTTCTAGCTTTTCATTTGTTTCCAGTATATTCATAATTGCTTGCTAAAGCATTTGTATGATGACTGTTCAAAAATCTTTGTCAGGTGATTCTAAAATTTCTTATCATCTTGGTGTCATCATCTATCAACTGTCTTTTCTCATTAAAATTTAGATTTTCCTGGTTCTTGGTATGACAAGTGATTTTTGAATGAAACCTGGGCAATTTGGGTATTATGTTATGAGGCTCTGGATCTTATTTAAACCTTCTGTTTTAGCTGGCTTCTCACACACTGTTCCAGAAGGTGGGGGGGGGGGGGCTTGTTACAATCAGATGTGGGTAGAAGTCCAAGTTCTCCACCCAAACTCCACTGACAGCTGAGGGAGGGATGTCCTTTATACTACTGGGTGGGTGCTCTTCCTTATTCCTGGGAGAAGCTGGCCTCCCACAGACAGGCCTCTACTGATACCTTTCTACCTAGAAGGGGTAGGAATACCTTGCTACTGCTCCCCACACGGCCTCCAACAACACCATGGAGGGAAGGCTCATTATTGCATGGTGGTAAAAGTCTAGACTCTCCATTAGCCTTCCTCTGTTATCACCCCACAAGGGAAAAGGAGAAAGACACCTCATTATTGCCAGGTAGGGTCCAGGCTTCCCACATGGCTTCAATGACACCAGAGGGGAAACATTACAACCTGGAAGCAGGGAGGTCTAAGATATTCAACCTTTGCTGGCACAGATGAAGGGGGCCACAGTTTCTTCTGTGGTGTTTGGCTAGAGTAGGAGCAATTACAGTCTCACAGTTTTCAGTCTTGCTAGACTTTTGGCTTTATCAGGCTTTTCTTGCAAACTCTTGCTGGTCATTCCAGGTTGACAGCTTCTTTACCTACAAGTATGGGATATATGAATGTAAAAAGGTGGGAGTAGTAATACTGTCAGAGCATCTCTAATTTCAGGGGAGATAACGACCAGGATCAGCCCAAAGCTGATTCTAATGAGGCAGAGGGCAGACATACCTCCACTCTCCAACCTTTTATCAATTCTGACACCAGCCATCCCTCCCACAGCACTCTCTACTTCTTTGTTGGGTTCAATAATCTTTTCCAATGGCCATACCACCCTCACAGGTAAGTGGTTTATTAAGGAACAGGGTATAACTCAGGATAAGTATTAGCAGGCTACAACTCAGGATCAGGATCAGGAAGCATATAGGGAAACTCTCCCTTCTCACTGTAGGACAGCTCTCTCAGCTGTTCTTGGCCATGCAGACCTTCTCTTGGTCCCATGAGCACAAGCTTCTCTCAGCTCCCTTAGGACAGGCTCCATTTGGCCCTGCCATCTGTCACCACTGGCTCCGTTGCTGGGCACCTTCTGAGCCTATTGTCACTGGCTCTGCTGCCTGACCCTTTCCAGGCTTCTCACTGTCTTCAGTGTTATAGCCACTGACCATGTTATAGCTTTTTGAGGAGGTTCCTTGTCTCCTTTTCCTCTCTGCTCCTTCTCTCTTCTTTCTTTCTTCTGCTTCTTCCCATTGCTTTGTTTCTGAGTTTTTCTGCCTCAAAAACTTCTGTGGGTATGGCTGCTTAATAAATTTCTTGGCAATTTCAAGGCATGGCACTTCCACCAGGGCCACAAACTGCCCAGTTCCCTCTTGGTAACCCAGACCACAGACATTTCATGTGTATAGAAGGCTACAACTCATCTCATTTGCATAGTCTATTGACAAACCCCTGCAAGGTGCATACCAATCACAGGGCAGGCTATAGTCCAGGACCAGACAAAAAGTAGCAAACCAAATTAATTACAGTTTTCCCAGGAAATGTCAATCAACCTGGACAAAAGTAATAAACCCTCTGGGGTAGAAAACTAGGGCAAAGGTAAATCCTCAGGACTTTGGGGAAAAATCTCTCAAGCTGTTTTTCCAAAGAACCAAGGCAAAAGGCCACATAAAGGAACTCATTTTACCACAACGCAACAAAAATAAGAACCAGGAAATTCACCATCATGTTTTTCTTTGGGTCTCAAGGTCCTAGCCAATCTGCTTTCATCTCTCCACCTTTCAGTCTTCTTTTGTTTATATATATAATATCAAGAACTTTTAGTTATACTCAGTAGAAGAAAAGGGGAAGCATCTATCCACTCCATCATCCTGGAGCAGAAGTCCTCTATTTGTTTTTTAAAGCAATCTAATATTTGTACTGTCAATTATATCACATCAGGTATTTTTATAATCTATCCCTTCGCAGTTGGGTTCTAATCTATCATTCCTCTATAAGATAACATTATTTGATCACTAAATTACATTTTGCTGTCAGTCACCTTGCACAGTAGCATTTGTATTGTCTGAAAATTATCTCCCTTTAAAATAGAACTATTCAATGAGTAGGATCCATTTCTACCCCTCTCTTAAATTCAATAGCTATGTTTGGTTGGATCTGAACAAATCTGATCAAAATGCTAAGTACATATATCAATTCTTAGACATTTATAAAAACATGATAATGTTTTAAAACATTCATTTTCAAAGAGGTCTTAACATTAGTAATAGAGAAGAATGTCTTATTTAAGATATTTTTATTAGACTTGGCCTGGCACTATCTCAATTTCTAGCTACTTTTTTCTTTTTCAATTTCTAAATCTCTTTCTAATTTGAGGCCTAAATAATTAACTAAGATCAATCTACATCTCTTTATAGGGCTCTGGCAGAAAGAAAGATATTTGAGTAATTATTGTTAGATTGTTGTTGAGTTGGTTCAGACTCATAGTAACAATACATTCAACGTAACAAAACACTGCACAGCCCTGCACCACCCTCACAGTTGAGCCCATTGTTAGAGACACTGTGTCAATCCATCTTGTTGAGGGTCTTCCTCTTTTTCACTGACTCTCGACTCTACCAAGCACAATGTAAGGAAGTAAAATATGGGTAGAAGCTGGTGACTAGACAGGAGCTGAAAAAGCAATCAAGTGGTACTGGGAATGATACCATCAGTTTTGATAATGGAACATGTGAGGAACAATCAGATTTCATTCTATCATCTCCAGTGATGATAAAGGTCGATCACCCTGACTAGACAGATACCCTTTTCCATGTCTTGGCTACCAAGCTACACAAATTAAATGTGTGTCTGGTCACTTTTAATCACTTAGTTGGGAAATACTAGAGTTTCTCTGTTCAAATCAATAGCCAATAGCCACATATAGCTACTAAACACTTGAAATGTAGCTAGTATGACTGAGGAACTAACTTTTTTATTTAATTTTAACTTAAAAAACTAAAGCAGCATAAAAGTATTTGTTCAGTAAACACAAACTTCATTGTTTTGGTTAAAAGTGCATTTTACCTTAATTATTCCACTGCATAAATATTATTATTATATTGCAATGTATATGTGCTTTTTACTTATTTAAATATGGCTACCATAAAATTTTCAATTACATACAGGGCTTGCATTGTTTTTCTCTTGGGCAGCATTGCTCTAGACCAAACCAAAATCTAATTAAACTCACTGCCACTGAGTCAATTCCAACTCATAGTGACCCTATAGGACAGAGCAGAACGGTTTCTAAGGCTGTCAACCTTTACGGAAGCAGACAGCCTTATCTTTCTCCTGTGGAGCAGCTAGTGGGTTTGAACCTCTGACATTCTGGTTAGCAACCAGATGCCTTAGTCACTGCACCACCAGAGCTCCCTTTGTTCTAAAAAAGTATCCTAAACTGGGGGCAATCTTGCCTCCCCAAGAACATTTAGTAATATCTAGAGATATTTTTTATTGTCACCACTTGGAGTACTATTAACATCTAATGATAGAGTCCAGGAGTGCTACCACCCATCCTAGAATGCATAAAACAGTCCTCTAACAAAAAAGAATTATCTGGTCCAAAATGTCAATAATGTCAAGCTCAAGAAACCCTGCCCTAAAGTGTCAAATGACAAGTCATAGATGGAATGTTAGAAACAAAATACATATCCTATTACCACCACTACCGCCACCACCCCAGTTCTTTTACCAGAATACAATTGAGGAAAGTAGATTATGACTTAAAGAAGCAATGAAGGGGATCAAAGGGATGGCAGGGTAGCTGGTGTTAACTGAGACAACTTTTGTGGAAGAGAAAGAATTTGAAATGATAGCAGAGGCTGGTATGATTTTATAAGGCAAAAACATAAGGAGCACATTTTTTACAATGTGTGAGCAAAGGAAAAACTATAATCCACAGAACGCATATGAGAATGAGTGAGAAGACTCAGGCTAGTCAGGACCAAAAGCTCTTGTAACAATTTAAGGAAGGATGCCCTAAAGCATTTTTTTCTTTAAACATCCTAACCAGACATACCATATAAATGTATTTCAAGGATGACATACGAGAATTATAATGTGTTTAAACAGAAATAAAATAGATAGCCATTGCTTATTAATCAATAGTAACAAATAGGATTAGACCAAGTCTCAAGACAAGGCTGAAAAGGCTTTTAGGCAGACATTTACCTTTCTATGTCAAGTGCCTCCTCATTTTTCATCCATCTAATGGCTGGAGGAGGAAGTCCCGAAGCAATACATGGCAACACTGCACTCTGACCAATGACTCTGACTAACGAAGACGGTTGTTTCAAAAACATCAAGTTTGATGTAACTTCAGGATCTAGAAAAATACATATAAATAAAAAACAGTAATTACGAAAGCTCTTTACCACTTTAATGATGAGGTTAATTCCTATTCAGTCTGTGTAGCTTTATATAGCAAAGTACATTTAAGCAAAAGTAACACAGAGAATTCCATTTAAATTAGCAATATTCCTTAAATACCTTCTAGTGTGCAAAGCACTGTGCTAGTCTATGTGGTTCTTAAAGATACGTAACTATATCTCCTGACTTCAGGTCAACTGAAGGAAATCTGACATGACTCTCTTACGTTAAAAAACAGGACAAAGGAAAAATAAAACAGCAAGGGAAGGTTTACATAGGGAAGGAAATTTTCTCTGTTACCAGGGATTAAAGGGGAGGGAAGGAAGGGAAAATCGGAGGGTGTGTTTAAAGTAAATGCCATGAGTGGCACAAACAAAAAACAGACTGAACAAGCTCAGGACTTAGCAGCACCATCCCCACTCACAAGAATAACAAGAAGTTTCCTTTTTTCTTCTCTACACCTGCATGTTACTTCTGAAAATCTTTCTGAGTTTCATCTCTTTAACTTGTTTACTTAGTCTGTCAATCTTTTGATTTTGGTATGGAACAATCATTGTGGTAGTTAAGTGTGTGTGACAACTTGACTGGGCCGGGTTGAGTGGCTGGGCAGCTGGATGTAGTATTCCCCATGATGAGACTGGTAATCAACTCCATGGTGGAATCTACTGTGAGCAGCTGAGTAGCTGCATTAGGGATATGGTCTGCTTCCTCTATGTAAAGAGAAGCCTTGGGGAACGATCTCTAGCTTATGGCACACTTGAACCCTGCATGCAGCCAAGTCACTGTTCAGCAGTCTGCCAAGCTCTGCCGATCATGGGACTTTCAACTGACTTGAATTAGTAGCCTGTCATGTTGTTTGGTAACACTGGGACTGTGCCTTTTTACTTGTCAACTTTGGGTTTGTCAGCCTCAGCAGCCAGCACCTGCCTGAGTGGAGAAATGCCTCCAGCTTCAGTGGGCCAGGAGCAGGAGGCAGAGCTGAAGCCCAAGGCTGAGGGGCTTTCACCCAGCCTGGCACTTTGAACTGAGACTTAAAACCTCCAAACTGTAAGGGAATAAACTCGTTTGTTAAAGCCATCCCATTTGTGGTATATTATCAGAGCAGCACTAGGTAACCAGAACAATCATCTAGCTACCACTATATCTGTGTATCTCTTATAGAAACATTAGAATAATTGGGTGTTCACTTTATATAGTTGTCCTCTTGTAGATACATGAAAAGGTCACACTCTTATAGGTAGAAGGCAGGGTCCTCTGCTTAAAGGGGTGATATTTCTAGTCTTGATTGTTGACACAGACAGGACAGTTCTCAGGCAGAGAGATGTGACTCCTGCCCTCATACTCCTAGGAAAATATATTCCATAGCTATCATAACAACCACTAGAACTGGTTTATGTAGTTTTCCCACCACCTTGTCTGTCGATGACAGTTCTTAGTAGTGTAACAAGTAAACACTATTTAATAAACAACTAACTTCAACAAACATGCCTATGAAAGTCAGCCCATCAGTTACAGTCTCAGGCTTTAAAAGTCAGCAGCAGAGTCACTTGCTTCCAAGGATGATATTAACCTGTTTCCACCTCTGTAACCAATCACAAAACATGCTTCTATGACACACATCAAACCACCCCTACTTCTTAACCAATACAACTCAAACAAAAGCATTCCAAAAGTGCTACCAGAGATAAGCTGTTTGCTTTATCAAGAAGACTATGCTTGACAAGCATAGCTCTCCCTTATGTAAGTACGTGAAATATTCAGGATTGTGTTTTTGTTCCAGATACTGAGTAGCGGCCTCATTCTTTGACATGGCAAACCTTGTTTTCTTGGACAAGGTTTTAAGGATTTGCTTGAAGGTTGCTCCAGAGGTTAAGAAGAAATAAGACCTTTTGCCATGTAATAAAAGCAAGTCTGAAAATAGGCTGGGAGACATATATGGCAATAGTTCTCTCTTTTCAATCTTAAATTACTTAGGTAGAAAAAACACTCCAGAAGCAGACCAAAGAACGCATTAACTTTGATAGAATTAATAAATCTGCAACAAATATTTACGGGGCAGCAGAAAAAATTCTCTGCCCTTGTGTGTAGCTTATATTCTAATGGAAGGGCAACAAATAAAAGATACTGTATATAGACAGTCACATGGCATGAAGTAAAATGAGGGGGAAGGTGAAAGCACTAAAGGCAGAAACAAGATTGATGTTTTAAATAGAATGGTCAAGGAAGCCTTCACAGATAAAGGGATAACTGAGCAGAGAAGTGAGAGAGAGCACCAGACAGATAGATGATGGAAGAGGATGCCAGGCAAAGGGAACAGCAAGTCAAAGGCCCTAAAGAGAAACCATGTTTGTAGTATTCTAGAAACATATGGTGGCCATAATCAGAGTGAGAGAGAAAAAAGGTGGAGATGGGGAGTGGGGGAAGGTGGTGGGAAAACTACATAAAACCTTATGGGCCAAGGACTCTGCATTTACTCTGAGTGAGATGGGAAATCATTAAGGAGCTCTGAGCAGAGGCATGACGTGATCTAATAAACATTTTAAAACACTGTGGCTGCTGAACTGAGAATACTACACTGGGACAGGAATGACAGGGCAGAGATATTGAGGACAAAGAAAGAAGTTACATTTTAAAAACCACTTCAATGCCCTCAGTTGCTGTTGCTCATAATGTTGGTCTTATTTTGCAAAACAACCCCCAGGCTAAACAATGAGTCTATGAGGTAGCCATATATAAAAACTCTGCCCCAATGAGGTATGTATGGCCCAATTATATTCATAAAGTCAAATTTGAAAATAAGAAATATAGAAAGAACCAGGCAGTGGGAACAGAAGCTGAGAGGTCATGAAGCAGCAAGAGGCTACAGGGACTGTAAAGAGCTACAAGTGAGAGGAATTGAGTAAGCAGAAGTTATGCAGTTGAGAAAGGATATCCAGATTATGAGGAAAGCCTGTGGGAACAGAAAGAGTAAGACGACACACACAGAGGAAAGACTGAAAGAGGAGTTGAGTTTACATTAAAATGAGGGCAGAGTATAAAGATCTAAGAACCTTTGTTTGCCAGCATCTCTAAGCTATCATACTAACAGCTACCACCCTATTCATCTCATGTGAACTGGCCTGAGTCTCATTCTTTCACAAGTAAAAGGATCTAAGTATAAAGGCACCATATTTTGGAACAGTGGAAGATAGGGGCTTGACAAAAGATACAGTGCTAATATTTCTTTGGCCAAGAAAAATGTGCCATTAGATTCTGAACACCCTTTATTGCTTGGTAGAAATTTATTGATTAATGTAGTGATTAAAGATTGAATCTTTCTGGCATATTTTCTTCTCTTTACCCCTGTATGAAACTAAGCCTCCTAATGCTGACATGCCACACCACATATCAGCAGCACTTATTACAAAACACCTAAAGAACAATTTTTAGCCATTAATAAATCTAAAAACTTTAATCCTGATAAAGAATTAATACCTGGAAGAACTTTCAACTCAGCTTCATCACTATACTTTGGTGGCCCACCACTCTCAACTACACAGCGATAAAGTCCTCCATCTCCTTCTGTCACGTTGCTGATAACCAGTGTTCCACTTGGAAGTTTGACAACTCTGTCATCCAAAACAAGGGGCTGTCTGTTCTGTTCCCACCTCACAAATGGGACCAAGTCTGCATTAACTTCACAATTCAGAATTGCACTGTTCCCAGCATAAGCAGAGGAAGATTCTGGCTGGCTGGCAAATCTTGGAAGACCTGGACAACAAAGGAAAAAAAGAAAGAAGTAGTAGTTAAGCATTACTTAAATATGTAGTCATAGAGGCCAGGATCAAGTCAGTCTGAGTAGCCACAATATGTGGCAGAGCCAGGGTAGAGAAGAAGGTCCATGTGGCCAGGAGTTTGATTACATACAGGGATACTGAACAAATAAGTAAATATATTAAGAATAATCAGAGTCAGATTTCTCATAGGTGGAGAGGCAAGGTAAATATGGAAAAGGAGAAGGGCAGAATAATGCCATAGTTTTAGACTACAATGAAGGCATCACTATAAACATATGGTTTCATGTAATTATAGATATGTATGAAAATATATATATATATAAACATGTATGTGTGAAGGACACATATATTTCATATACAGTAATTCCATATACATTAACCAATAAACATAGATATGTTTCCTACTATGTCCACTGAAAGGGCCCAGAATCAATGTTATCCCAGTAGAAATGAGTATATATAGTAACCAGCCACTCCTCGGAAGGAAGGTTGGGCAATCCTACCTCTGTAGTGATACTGCCTTGGAAACTCAAGGAGGGGTCGCTATGAGTTGGGTTTGACTCGACGGCACATAACAACAACAACAACAGTGACCTGACTTGATTTTTAAATACCATTTTCCACTACAAGGAACTGGGCTCCTTGAAGAAATGGCTGATTCTAGGACTAGATTAGGGAAAGCACAAGATGAGCCTGCACTTTGTGACAGAAAGTAAGAAAGTGTCCTAAGAACAATGAGGAGTGTCGAAAGGACACAGATACCAACTTGAAGGGAGTTTCTTCTGGCTAAACCTTGGAAAACCATTATCATAGCAACCCTACAGGACAAGAACTATCTCACAGGGATTCCTAGGCTGTAATCTTTACAAGAACAGATCCCCAGGTCTTTCCTCTATGGATCCACTTGCAGGTTTAAACCGCTGACCTGTCAGTTAGCAGCTGAACTCCTAACAATTGCACCACTAGGGTTCTATAGACAGTCATAACCAAGTAATAAAAGTTAACAGAACAAAACATCACATGCTTCCTGATATGATGCACTGAAAAGAATATAACATCATTTCTGTGGTATTCCCACCCAAAATACAAAACCTGAATCTATTCACAGGGGAAAAACCAACAAACCCTAAATGAGAAACGTTCTACAAAGCAGCACTTCAAACATCAAACTCATGAACCATAAAGAAAAACTAAAGACCTGCTCCAGGTAGAGAGAGTCTAAAGCAACACAACAACCAAATGACACACAATCTTGGGAAAGGAGAGAGGGAAAAGAAGTTTCTGCATTTTTTTTTTTTTGCTGTAAAGAACATTATTGAGACAATCACTATATAATCTTAATGGCATCTATAGATTAGATGGGAGTACTGTATAAAAGTTAATTTTCTGGTTTTGACAGGTGTAAAGTGGCACAAATGGTTTGCATTAGACTGCTAACCAAAACACTGGCAATTTGAACCACCCAGCCACTCCACAGAAGAAAAGCCATGGTGATCTGCTTCCATTAAGATTATAGCCAAGAAAACCATGTGAAGCAGCAGTTCTATTTCCTAACACACAAGGTCGCAATGAGTTGGAATCAGCTCAAGAGCAACTAACAACAACTGTGGTGATATAAGAGAATGTCTTTTTTTTTAAATAGGAAATATGTATTGGGTTACTGACATATAGACAACTCCTACTTAGACTTTAATGTAAATTTGTCCTTACTTTAAAAGAACTGAACCCAACCCCTACTAGCAATAAATTCTTCATCACAAGCACCTTCACTTGCTGCACATGCAGATTTTAAATCATTGAAAAGGTTTAGAGCATTTTCTTGCACTAACTCAAATATCAACCCACTGCCATGGAGTTGGATTTCTACTCATAGCAACTCTAGGACAGAGTGGAAATGCCCCATAGGGTTTACAAGGCTGTAAATCTTTTTTTTTTTTTTTTACTTTATATTGTGATTTGGGTGGAAGTTTACGGGGTAAATTAGCTTTCCATTCAATAGTTTATATACATTTTGTTGTGTATAATAAATAATCAGTAAAGCATCAATTGCAATCCACGCAATGTAACAGTACTCTTCCCAATTCCTCCCTGTGGTTACCATTTCCCTTTGTCCTTTTCTATCTGTTCCTGCCTCTGAGCTTTATCCTTGGGCAAATGCTGCCCTGTTGATCTCGTGTGGTTGATTGTTCCAAGGAGTGCAGACCTCCCAGTGTAACTGTTCACCTCACAGGGCTATCTATTGTTTGGCTGAAAGTTGAGCCATAGAGGTGAGTTCAGTGCTGGGCTGGAAGGGTGACAAGGGCCATAGTAGCCTCGAGGTCCAACCATTCTCTATCAGATCAGTAAGCCTCATCTTTTTTATTATTTTGAGTTTCATTCCACATTTTCCTCCCACTCTATTCAGGATCTCCTATTGTGATCCCTTTCAGAGTGGCTGGCAGTGGTAGCTGGGTACCATCTAGTTCTTCTGGTCTCAGGGTCCTGTAGGCTGAAGTTCCCGTGATGTACTAGTCCCTTGGACTAACTGTTTCCTATGTTTTCTTCACCCTTCTTTGCTCCAGATGAAGGAACACCAATAGCTGCACTTTAGATGGCCACTCACAACTTTTAAGACAGTAGTGTCTTACTCACCAAAGCAGGATGTAGAACAACTTCTTTGTGTATTATGCCAGCTGATTCTGATGTCCCCATGACTATGGTCCTGAGCCCACAGCCCAGGGACCCAAAAATTTAGTCATAAATATTTTATAAATGTCCCAGAAAGGAGTGGCTAAGATGATCAACCATAGAGTCACATCACCTAAATATGAATCCCAACTCCACCACTTCGTGGCTGTGTAAAGTTGGCAAGTACTTAACCTCTCTCTAAGCCTAAGTTTCTTAATCAGTAATATGAGAACAAAAAGGAGAGGCCTATCTCATAGGATGGTTAGAAAAGATTAAATATGTAACATAAATAATCCATATACAGCATTTCGTTGTCATTAGATGCCATCGAGTCAGCTCTGACTCACAGTGACCCTATGTACAACAGAACCAAACATGGCCCGATCCTGCACCAGTCCCACCAGTCTTGAGCCCACTGTTGCAGCCACTGTGTCAATCCATCTCATTGAGGGCCTTCCCCTTTTCTCCAAAACCCCCACTTTACTAAGTATGATATCCTTCTCCAGAGAGTGGTCTCTTCTGACATGACCAAAGTAGGTGAGACTAAGCCTGGCCATTCTTGCTTCCAAGGAGCATTCTGGCCACACTTCTTCCAGGTCAGAGTTGTTAGTTCTTCAGTACTGAAAGGTACTTTCAGTATTCTTCGCCAACACCACAACTCAAAAGCATCAATTCTTCTTTGGTCTTCCTTATTCACTGTCCAGCCTTCACATGCATATGAGGCGACTGAAAACACCATGGCTTTGGTTAGGCACATCTTAGTCTTCAAAGAGACATCTCTGTTCTTCAACACTTTAAAGAGATCTTTTGCAGCAGATTTTCCCAGAGCTATATGTCTTCTGAGGAGCTCTGGTGGTGTAGTGCCTAACGCATTAGACTGCTAACCAGAAGGCTGGCAGTTCAAACCTACCAGACACGCCTCAAAAGGAGGGTTGGGCAATCTACTTCTGTAGTGATACTGCCTCGGAAACCCAAGGAGGGGTCGCTACGTGTCGGCTCCAAGTCGACGGCAGTGTGTTTGGTTTGGTTTTTGGTGATATGTCTCCTGCTTCCACTGGTGTTGATCGTGGAACCAAGTAATACGAAATCTTTGACAACTTCAATATTTTCTCCATTTATCGTGATGCTGCTTATTGGTCCAGTTGTGAGGATTTTCATTTTCTTTATGTTGAAGTATAATCCATACTTCAGACTGTAGTCTTTAATCTTCATCAGTAATTGCTTCAAGTCATCTTCACTTTCAGCAAACAAGGTTGTGTCATTTGCGTATCACAGGTCGTTAACGAGTCTTCCTCCAATCCTGATGCCACGTTCTCCTTCATATAGTCCAGCTTCTTGGATTATCTGCTCAGCATACAGACTGAATAAGCATGGTCAAAGGATATAACCCTGACGCACTCCCTTCCTGATTTTAAACCATGCAGTATCCCCTTGTTCTGTTCAAATGACTGCCTCCTGATCTATGTACCGAATAGTGCTGATAAATAATAAACAAATACTAGCTGTTGTTATTATTAACAATAATATCTCAAAAATGATCCTAAAATGCTCAAGAATGCAACAAAATGTTTCTTTAAAGATGAACAAATATTAAATCATAAGAAACAATTTCAGGTTTTCTAGTTTTATGGTAGTGAATTAGCCCAAATGTCAATGATACACTTACAGTTCTCTAGCCTTGCTATAAATGTTTTCTTATTTTTCATTTTAAGAAGATTTTTGAAGGAAAGAAATAAAGATATAATTACCTAAATATCTATTTTTGAGAAGTCAGTAATTAAAAGAAGTCAATAAAGAGAAGCATAGAAACTAAAGGAGAACAAAGACTTAAATAAAACCAAGTGCTGATTAGAGCTTAAAAAAACTCCCTCTTGAGATCTCATGAAGATGAGTAATTTTAAAAAATAAAAACCTACAACAACATATGGGTAATCAGCAGACAAGAGATTTCAAAAAGTTTCTGAATAGGGAAAGCAGATGGAGGAGGCAGTAACCGGCATATGCTGAGAATGCTGTAGCTTCCTGCACTCACAAGAAAGCCCGTTTGTACCGCTGCCAACGGAGAATTGCAGGAGAAAACAAAGAAGAGCGTGGGAGTGAGACATGGTGCTGACGAGATGTACTTAGACCACTCCATTTCCCCACCTTTGGGGACAAAACCCACACCCAGGCTACTGACCAGGCAGGAGAGCAGAAATTGTGGGAAAAGGATGGCCCAGAAAAAAATCACTCTCACAGTTAATTCTGTGAGGTATCTACTTAGTGTGCTTTTAGTAATTTCCCTTCTTGTTTATCTTGCCCCAATCA